GAAATTGAAATTGAAATTGAAATAACAGGTATAAGTATAAACATGGACATGAACACAGGAACTGGGTATGAATAAATGGGGACAGTAGGACAAGGACGGTGGACACGCTGGTGCGCTTATGCACGCCCCCTTTACGGACCTCTTAGGAATGGGGTGAGGTTCATGATTGACAGTTTGAGGTTAAAGTTATGGGGGTTTGAGGATGTAACAACAGAGTTGGGTAGAGCATTCCAGGCGTTGACCACTCTGTTGCTGAAGTCGCATTTTCTGCAATCGAGTTTGGAGCGGTTTACCTTGAGTTTGTATCGATCGTTTGCCCATGTGTTATTGAGGTTGAAGTGGTTGTTGACAGGTAGGACGTTGTAGCAGACAATTTTATGTACTACACTTAGGTCAGACCGTGGGTTCCAGCTTATCCAAGCCCAAAGTTTTGCGCTGGTGGCATCAGGGATTCTGTTGTGAGCAGAGGTGTGGAGGACTCCGGACTCTCTCGATTGCATTAATGTCCGATAGACAGTGTGGATTCCAGGCAGGCGAGCTGTATTCAAGGATTGGTCTGGCAAAGGTTTTGTATGCCCTTGTTTCCAGTACAATGTTACGGGAGAAGGAGCTTCGCAAGCTTAGGTTAACAAACCCTTAGTGCCTTCTTGGTTTCTCAACCCAAGAATCTAAAAAAGGAGCCCATTTCTACCTTGTATACAACTTCAGTTCTAAAGCAAAAGGTTCGGTGCCAATCTGGTCATTATGGGGAAAAAAGAGCTATTGTGAAGTCCTCGGTGCTCTCCGAGGCTGGTTGTTTGCTGGCAGATATTTCGTTACCTGACAAGGTAACATAATTGCTCCTTGTTTATGTACCGTCATTTGCCCAGCTGGTGTTGATGTGGATGTGGTTTTCTCCTTGGTAGTTCCTTGATTAGGATATTGTTTTGTGCTTGTTTGTCTGGTGTTAATCCCTGCTTATTTGTAGGCTGCTGGAGAGGACGCGTGGTGGGTCTTTTTGGTTCCTTTTTATTTGTTTATTTTGATTGACTGACTGATTCGTAATCCTGCCTTCATTAGTTTTACAAATAACTCAAGGCAGTGAACATATCCACTTTTCTCCTCTTCTTTTGCCTATAACAACAACAACCCTGTGAAGTGGGTTTGGCTGAGACAGTGACTGGCCCAAAGTCTCCCAGCTGGCTTTTGTGGCTAAGGCGGGACTAGAACTCACCGTCTCCTGGTGTTTTGTCCCAGGTCAGCCTTCCTACTTTCATGGCTAAGGCAGGATTAGAACTCACCGTCTCCTGGTGATTGGCCCAAAGTCACTCAACCAGCTTTCATGCCTAAGGCAGGACTAGAACTCACCATCTCCTGGTGATTGGCCCAAAAACACTCAACCAGCTTTCATGGCTAAGGTAGTACAAGAACTCACAGTCTCCTGGTGATTGGCCCAAAGTCACCCAGCCAGCTTTCATGCCTAAGGCAGGACTAGAACTCCCAGTCTCCTGGTTTGTAAGCTTTTTAACCACTAGGCTAAACTGGCTCATATTTGTAGGTCTGGCGTTATGTGATTTTCACTTTCTTTTCTACTGCACTATTTTTGGGGTATTTATCAGATGTAATAGAATGGTTTATATGTGTATCCCACCCCAAAACAATGGGAAACAGAGGTGTCAACATTTAACCCTTCTCTGTTTGGGACTTAAGGTGCCAAAAAGATTTGGGGTAGGTGGTGGTGGGGATTCAGCAGGATCTGACAGGTTCTGGAGAACCGGTAGTGGAAATTTTGAGTAGTTTGGAGAACTGGCAAATGCCACCTCTGGCTGGCCCCAGAGTAGGGTAGGGAGGGAATGATTTTGCAGTATCCTTCTCCCAGGAGTGAGGAGGGAAGGGAGATTTTGCGGTATCCTTCTCCCAGGAGTGAGGAGGGAAGGGAGATTTTGCAGTATCCTTCCCCAGGAGTGGGAAGGGAGATTTTGCAGTATCCTTCCCCTGGAGTGGGGAGGGAAGGGAGATTTTGCAGTATCCTTCCTCTGGAGTGGGGAAGGAAGGGAGATTTTGCAGTATCCTTCCCCTGGAGTGGGGAGGGAAGGGAGATTTTGCAGTATCCTTCCTCTGGAGTGGGGAGGGAAGGGAGATTTTGCAGTATCCTTCCTCTGGAGTGGGGAGGGAAGGGAGATTTTGCAGTATCCTTCCCCTGGAGTGGGGAAGGAAGGGAGATTTTGCAGTATCCTTCCCCTGCCACGTCCACCAAGCCACGCCTACAGAAGCGATAGTAAAAAAAAATTGAATGTCACCACTATTTGGGGGTGATAATTTGTGGATGGAGCCTTCCTTTCCATTAACGCCTTTAGCCGATCAGAGAGCTGGAAGCCATCTCCAGTTCTGAAGTCCAGTTTTGTCCCGGGGTTGTCCATCAAGAGGTGTGAAGGTTTAATAGGGGATATCCATGTGGATCAAATTATTATTTTCCTGAGCACCACTGTGAAAATAAGCCCCTAAGAGACACTCGGTAGAAACATAATTATCATCCTGTTTGCCAGATGAATGAATTCAGGTTAAGCTCCCGGAGGAGGCGACTTCGTTATTTCCATTCGCCGGCGAAGTAGCCTTCACTAGGGAAGTCCTCAACTTGTGACCACAACCGATCCCCAAATTTACGCGGCCGAGAACATTGGCGAAGCGCATTTTGTCCCACTTCATTTTTCCTCCCGCGTCCGTTAAGACAAATCCCTGCGGTTGTTAAGCGAGTCCCACGGTTGTTAAGTGAATCCGGCTGCCCCGTGGAGTTTGCTTGCTAGGGCGGTCGCAGAAGGGGATTGCAGGTGACACCCCACCCTCCCCGGGATGCAGCGACCGTCATAATTGTGAGTCGGTTCGCAGGCATCCGAATCTAAATAAATCGTGCGGCCGTGGGGTGGGGGGAATGCTGCAACAGTCGTCAGTGTGAAACAGTGTCGTAAGTCGCTTTTTTCAGTGCCGCAACTTTGAATTGTCACTAAGTGAATGGTCATAACTCAGGGCCTACCCGTATATGATGGTTTAACACCTGGAAATGCTTGCAGGGTGTAAGGAAGCCATTTCAGAGTGG